GTTTGTTTCCCTGCCTCCATCCATTTACATACTTATCCACACTAGTGACCGGAGCAATCTAGCAAAAGTCACAAACTTAACACTTTCTGTTGTACCAAAGTCCTCACTGATTTTGTGCATCAACAAATAGAGAGTGGAAATACTTTTAATCACTTGGACATTTTTTTAGAGGGTTTTTATCACAAATGATCATTGAAATTAACCTATCCCATCAAGATGATCCTTGAAATTGAAAATCGATGATCAATGTAGTCCCAGAAATTAGATGTTGCAAATCAATGTAGTCTTTCCATCATAACTCTGTTACAAATTTTGTTATGTGCTGATGTGACACATAATTAGGTTCCACAATATAATAAAATATTGCCATGTGGATTAAAAGTATTAAAATAATAATAAAAAAACTATTTTATATAATTAAAAACAAAAAAAACAGAAAAAGAACAGTTGTCTTCTTCTTTCCCTCCTACCTAGCGACCCACCATTCTACTCCCCTTGAAAGAAGAGAACAGAAGGCTACACAAGGAGCTGCAAGAGCTAAAATTAATGAAACAAACAGCAGCAGCACCTTTTTACATGCAGTTTCCAACTGCCACTCTCACCGGAGCAACCACCCCAGTCCCCACCCCACCCCACGCCATCGCACATGCGCCACTCCCCTACAGGCTACAGCCTGCACCTCCCGGTCGAGCAACATCGAGAGGTTTCATTTCGAATTACCGTCACCGGCGAACACGAGGACTGCGGGAACAGGGTGCGAAGGTGCCGTTTCAAGGGCAGGACAATGGGGAGGACAATGGTGGGTCGCTGGGTAGGAGGGGAAGAAGATGATGAACAATCATCTTCTTCTTCTTTTTCTCCTTTTTTTTGTTTTCAATTATATAAAATAGTTTTTTTTTTATTTTAATACTTTTAATCCACGTGGCAATATTTTATTATATTGTGAAATTCAATTATATGTCACATCAGCACATAACATAATTTTTAGCGGAGTTGTGACGAAAGAACTACATTGATTTGCGACATCCAATTTCAGAGACTACATTGATCAATTTTCAATTTCAGGGACCATCTTGATAGGATGGGTCAATTGCAGGGACCATTTGTGATAAAAATCCTTTTTTAGATGCAATCAAGTTAAGGAGATTCTATTGAGAGTTATGAACTAATAGATAAATAATTATGTTGTTAAGAATAGGTAGAAGTGAGATGATCATTAATTAGTTTATTTATTAGTGAATTCTCCGTCATTTAACATCATGCAAGGTTATGTGCTTGATTTTTCCTCTCTAAATATTGCTTGTATAAAAGGGTGCGTTTGGTACGCAGACGGAACGGAACGGAACGGGACGGGACGGGACGGAACGGGACGGGACGGGACGGAACGGGACGGGACGGGACGGAACGGGACGGGACGGGACGGAACGAAGGTGTAATTTTTGAAAAAGACATGGGGTATATTTGTCTTAAAATGGTAAAACATTGCGTTCCACAAACGTGGAACAAACCCGTTCCAGGGGGGAGGTGGAACGCAAAAACACTCAAAATCTGTCCCGTGGAACAGCCCGTTCCACCCATTTTTGGCACACCAAACGCGGGACGGAACGCCTCGTCCCGTTCCGTCCCGTCCCGTCCCACGTACCAAACGCACCCAAAATGAATGATACAATTAAGCGCAATAATTACTTAATATAAAGTAGGATAAATTTACCATGCATTTTGTTTTTGAGGTTGATTTTGTTCTTCTTAGCAGATTGGACTCAATGGTTTACTTAAGTCATGATCAAAGGAAATTAATGGAGCATTTTGTTTTGTTTTGTTTTTTTTTCTTGGGTAAGATGCTTTATTCAAACCACCGTGATATGATACGAATTACGATAAAAACAGCCAATCTAAAACCCAAGTGGTTAAAACAAAAAACAAAAACGTCATCTTTTTTAAATGGAGACTAGTTAGGGGTATCACTCTATATTGACTTTTAACGATTCAAACTGTCTTTTTCAGTCATCATTTATAAATTATCATTGCAAAAAAAAAAAAAAAAAATCCGAAACTATTTGCCAATTTGATTGTCATGATGAAATTTTAATATTTCTTACGACATTTTTGCTTTGGCATTTTTCAAGGATGATCTTAGTTGAAAAAAATATATGATTTGAATTGTTAAGTTCGATGTGAATGAGCCTCAAAACTAGTTCTCATTTAAAAAAAAATGAAAAATCACTTTGAATAAAGGGCTTGTTTATATAAAACAAAAGAAATGTGCATGCCTCTGCAGCCCCATCTCCAAATGCATAAAACGCTACACAATTTTTATACTTTTTAGTTCAAGCCAAACTAATTCAGCTTAATTCTTGAAGTTAATCTAATCATCACTAAAAAGGTGAACACAAACCTCGAAACATTAGACCATATTTTTAAAAAGGAAAACTAATGAAAATAACTTGAAAACTTTGAGTTTTAACGATAAGGACAAAATAAAGGATTAAATGAATAGTACCAGGTTAAAGTAAACAATACCGCGAGCTTTTCGTTAAAACTCTCTTAAAAAGAATACTAATGAAAATAGCTTGAAAACGCAAAAAAAACCTTCCCAAATAAAACCTCTTCCGACATAACCTCGAAACATCATCAAATTGTAGACGATGAAGCTGCATTTACATGTTTCTTCCTTAATGTGCTATCTTACGCTCACAAGATAACTGCAATTTTAAACTTTCTGAAAAGAGATTGCACATGAACTGTTTGATGAAATTCCTGAACCGTTTTCTTTGCGTTTTTTTCTTCTAGATTTCCAGATTGTTTTCATGTTTCCATCAGTGGCCAATTTGTAGGATTAGGTGCCATTGTAATACATTTCCTGAACAGCCTCCTCTTGCAAAAGTTGGAGCTCTGCGATTTTCGGCTTCTGCCAGTGTTGGGATTTGTTCAACGACTACTGACTTTCAACCCATGGAAACTAGAAGTGAAAACCGAACTTACATCTGCAGCATTTGTAGGAGCTGCGGCTGGCCATTGTTGGAAATTTTCCCACTAATGCTGTTGTCCTTCACGTCGATCACGTGAGGAAAGTAAGACTACTTGTACTGAGGAACGTTGCATTGGTCGAGATGTAGATAGGCAGTTCGAGAAGATCACGGTCTACTTGAGGAGCACTTTCTTCGGATAACATGGGAAGTGTACGGAGTTCCTTTGGAAATTCACCCGAAATTCGATTGCCTCCTAATGCTAAAACAAGGAGCCTCGGAAGAGCCCCCAACTAACTAGGAATCGATTGGGTGATTCTGTTAAAACTCAAAATCAAGACCCCTAGCTTCCTGAGCTTCGATAACCATTGAGTTATTTCACCGTTGAGCTCACAGCTACTCAAATCCAGCATTTGAAGACTTTGGAACCCATTGAAATTAGCCATTGCTTCATCACTTGGAATTTTCTCTCCTATATAAAAACTTGTCGAAAGGAGGAGTACCTTGAGACTTTTGCAGCACCATTAGTATCTTCATTGCCCCTGTGATGTTTGTCAATCGGCTATAGCTGAGAGAGAGGAAGGACAAGGATTCGAGTGAAAGAATCTCAGGTAGTATCTGTCCCTCTAGATTGTTTTTGCTCACTCGAATTGCTTTTAGGGACTTGCATGAGCAGAAGACTATTTGGCAAGAAACCGGTGAAGTAGAGTTATGATCAAGATCAAGTATTGGTTTGTTTAGTAAGATTGGAGAAGTTAAGTGTGGAGATGTTTCTTCGATAAGGTTTGTGCAGTTCATCAAAGATGGGAGCAGAGAGCGTTTTAGACTGTTGAATTGAAGGAACGGGAGTTGTAATTTGGACAGCTTACCAATATTGTTATTTTACAGAGAGAAAACCGGTCTATCCATTGGACTGGAGGTCAAGGATTGCGAGGTTGAAAATTATTTCGCACCGTGTAGTGAATTGTGGGGCAATGCAATTTCTTCTAGTGTGATAGCATTGTAGATGTCATCCGGGAGTAAGAGGTTGTTGTAACTACATTTATTTAGGGAGAAATCAAATAGTCTAGTCGAGGGAGACAAAGAAGACAAGTAGGGGACGGGATAGACCCTGAGAAGGTGTTCTTGACGTTGAAACTAGTTAAATTCGAAACATGTCTGAAGAAGAAGGATGAAATTTCTCCATGGAAGTGATTGCTGGACAAATCAACAATCTGTACATTTCTTGGCAGCTGAGAAAATGAGAGTTCTCTGGAGAGAAGGTTATAGCTCAAATCGAGAATCTCAAGGCGATTCAAGGACAAGAATGGTTAAGTTCTTAAGAAATTAAATCGCAGCCTGCAAGTGAATTTCCAAGTGACTACGCTCAAAAGTTTGAGTGTTCTATCGTGACGAAATTCGAAGGCATTTGCGTTTGAATTTAGTTAGGAAAGTTGGATGCATGTTTAGCCTTCCCTACGACGTAAATTCCCTTTCTGTTTTACGAAGTTGTTATATTTTTGGTATGCAGCAGCAATGTGGTTGATAAGCACTAGTCTATAAATTCCTGCCTATGCATTAAGTGGCTGGCCATCGTCCCAATTAATCCTAGCCGTTTGAAAATTAAGTAAGAGTGTCTAGACTTGCCAAGTCACCCGTCTAGCCCACGACTCTCATGTAAACAAAAAATAGATAATTTTTATTTTGCATTTTATTTTTTCGATAAATTGTAAGACTTGTTAAAACACTCATTACATGATTGTTCCACATGTTTTCAATATATTTTAATATATTATAATTCATATGTTATTTATTTTGCAAATTATATATCCCATACAATTATATTTATATTTAATGTAAAAATAGACATTTATGTATATGTTATATTAATAAATTTAATTAAAATATAAAATCCGCCTAGGCATCTATGCGCTAGGCCCTTTAGACACACGACTAGCGTCTAACATCTAGCACCTTTTAGAACCTTATTAATAAGTCCTTTGTTTCTCACAGAAAAAATAGACTTGATCAGCACACGAAACGATCTTTAACATCGGAAAGAAATTGGAAATATGCCCATCGCCATGACATGCTCAAAGCTAGAGAGCCACAAACTCCCCAAAATCCTACAATGAAACCAAGAGCCACTGAAATATAAAGCCATGAAATTTCATTCCCATTGTCATGTTCATCTTCCAGGTTCTTAGTTGCATCATCACTTGTATTCATCTGTTGGCATTTGTTTGGAAGCGGGGAACCGCAAAGTCCCGGGTTTCCCTCAAAGGCAGTGGCATCAAAGCCTTGGAGCTGTGTGCCTGACGGTATTTGTCCTTGGAGGTTATTGTATGCAACACTAAGTGAAGCCAAGAAATGAAGGCTTGATAGTGAAGGTGGGATTCCGCCCGACAGATGGTTTCTTGAGAGGTCTAATCTCTCCAAGTTTGTGAGCTTAGATACCTGGTCCGGAATGCTGCCAACAATGTTGTTGATGCTGAGATCCAGCTCGTGAAGGTTTTGCAACGGGCCTATCTCAATGGGAATGTTGCCACTTAGATGGCGGCAAGTTGGACAGAGAGTTGTACTGCAGCTCTATGACAGTTTCATTCCTGCGCTGCGTGTAGATAGGGAGATCGACATCACCACTATCCGTTTGAGCGGAAGGCTTCTCAGTTACAAGAGCTTGAAGTAGTGAGAAAAGCTCCTTTGGAAGTCCCCCCGAAAGAGAGTTGTTTTCCAAGCTTATGAAGAAAAGACTAGGAAGACTTCCCAACCAAGGAGGTATTCCAAGTCTGTTAGAAGTCAAATCAAGGACTTCGAGTTTCTTGAGCTTTGACATCCACACCGGAATATGACCTCTAAGTTGGCAGTTCGATAAGCCAAAAATTTCAACAGAAAAAACTTTTACGTTGCATGCTTGTTTTGTAGACGATGAAGCTGCATTTACATGTTTCTTACGCTCATAAGATAAATGCAGTTTTCAACTTTATGAAAAGAGATTGCACATAAACTGTTTGATGAAATTCCTGAACCGTGTTCTTTTTTTGTCTTTTTTTTTCGGAGTTTTAACGAAACACTTCTGGTACTGTTCACTTTTAACAAAAAACCACATTTTTACCTTTATCCGGTACTATTCACTACACCTTTATTTGTTATTTTTCATTTTTTTGGACTTTTTGTTAGTTTTATTTTTATTTTTTTCCAGATTTCCAGATTGTTTTCATGTTTCCAACAATGGCCAATTTGCAGGTTTAGGAACTTAGGTGCCACTGTAACACATTTCCTGAACCGCCTCCTCTTGCGAAAGTTGGAACTCTGTGATTTTCGGCTTCTGCTCGTGTTGGGATTCGTTCAACGACTTCCGACTTGCAACCAGTGCAAACTAGAAGAAGTAAGTGAAAACCCAACTTACACTAGTTTTTTTGTTTTACATTCGGAAAAAATACAAACCCTTCTCAATGATTCTGCATATACACAGATTTTGATGTGTAGTATCAAATTCAATCAGGACCCTTTTGTTAGTTTCAGTTTTCTTCTTAACCAAACTGATTGCGCAAGTTTATGAAAATCGAGGAGATTTTCACAGATAGTTTGATTCGTTATGTGACATACCTTTTTGTAGTTAAACATATATGATGTATACTCTTAGGCTTTATTCACGTGTAAAATCATCTAATATGTTATGTTATCAAACTTCCATCGTGATTTCAGCTGATGATTGATAATTTGGTCCATAATTTTGGTCTAAACAAAGAGAGAATAAATAAAAGAGCTATTCAACTTACAATCCGATTAGGGAATGAACATCCTACTCTTAAATTGATATTTTGCACTAGAGAATTTACTAGCTCAATCCGTACACATTAATATTTCTTCATCTTCTGGGCAGCGAGCTTTAACTGGAACGTTGAAGAGAGAGGTGGTTTGGAAGTTGTCAGGGACCGTGAAAGAGTTACTGTTGTTTGCATATTCTGACCGATTTGTACTCTCGGTTTCACTATCCGGTTTGCCGCTTTTAACTTCATCCCTTTGATTTGGGATTTGGACTTGGCCTTGGGCTTTCCTGTTAAGAAGAAGAATAAGAATTAGGAATTGTAAACAAATCGAAAAAAGAAAAAATGAACAGAGTCTAGATTCTAGAACTCTACCTTCTTCTAAGCCTTCTCCACTTCAGATAGAGCGTGAATTGAATATTGTCAAGGAATTGGAAATAGGCATGTCTCCACGTCCTCTTGAGAAGCAAAGGGCAACAGAATCCCAAATACCCTACAAAGAAACCAAGCACAACGGATAACCCAAACCATAGACTTTGATCCTCATCATCGTCCAAATCCTGGTTGTTCTCATTCTCATCTGCATCATTGCCATTACTTGGGAAGCACTGGTTTGAAAGTGGGGCACCGCAAAGTTTCGGATTCCCTTCGAATGCAGAGACACTGAAGCCTTGGAGCTGAGTGCCGGCTGGTATTGATCCTTCAAGATTATTGTATGCAACAGTAAATGTAGACAAGAAATGGAGATTTGATAGTGATGATGGGATTTCGCCTGACAGACGGTTACTGTTGAGTTCTAATCTCTCCAACTTTGTGAGGTTGGCTATTTGGTCTGGAATGTTGCCGGAGAACTTGTTGATGCTTAGATCCAGTTGTTGAAGAAATTGCAATTGGCCAATCTCAAAGGGTATGCTGCCGCTTAAACTGTTGTTCCTGAGGGAGATCACTCTTGGCATGTTGCGCAGATACTTGTACTGTGAAGACAGCACAGTTGCATTATTACCGCGTTGAAAGTAGACGGGCAACTCAAAAGAACAATGGCCTGTTTCATTTGCAACCTTTTGCGATACTAATGCTTGTAGTCTGCAAAGCTCCTTTGGAAATTCACCCGAAATCAAGTTGTCATTCAACATCAAAAGGAAAAGATGCGGAAGAGTCCCCAACCAACCAGGTATTGTGCCAGTGAGTCTATTAAAAGACAAATTCAGGACTTCCAGTTTCCCGAGCTTTGAAATCCATGCAGGTATGTGCCCTGTCATATGACAGCCCAATAAATTGAAAACACACAGATTTTGTAACCCGGAATCGACAGTTATATCCCCATCTGGCATTTCTTCACCTTTAAAATTTATTGCAAGAAGGAGCACCTTAAGACTTTTGAAACCCGTCAGTAACTTCATTGCCCCCGTGACATTGGTGAGTCTGTTATCAGAAAGCGAGAGGAAGGTCAAGTTTTTCAATTGAAGAATCTCAGGTTGGATTTGGCCCTCAAAATCATTTGAAGACAGTCGAAGTGCTTTGAGGAACTTGCATGAGTAGAGGCTTATTGGCAAGGTACCAGTGAGATTATTACTTATACAATCTAGTTTACTAAGTTGAGTAAGTTTAGAGAAATCGAGCACAGAGATATTCCCACTAAAAAAGTTGAATCCCAGATTTATTTCAACAAGGTTTGTGCAATTCATCAAAGATGGGGGCAGATGGCCTTGGAGATTGTTGTAATGAAGCCGCATGAGCTTTAATTTGGAGAGCTTGCCAACATTCTCACTGATGGATCCGACAAGCCCATTGGTAGATAATGAAATTTCTTGAAGTGCCTGAGCATTGTAGATATCAGCAGGAAGGGACCCTGAGAGAGTATTGTCGCCAGCACGAAAGACCTCCAATTTGGAACAGTTTCCTAGACCGCGAGGAATTGGGCCACTGAAATTATTGTGGGAGAAATCCAAGACTCTAAGCGAGGTGGAACGAAGACAGATAGAGGAAGGTATTTGGCCTGTAAAATGATTATTGCTGACATTCAAACTGCTCAAATTCCAGGCATGCTGGAGGAATGAAGAAGGAATTGTAGCATTGAATTGATTGTTGGACAAATCCACTATTTGAATGTAACTAGATGATAGAAACAAAGGTAATTCTTCGGAGAGAATGTTATAGCTCAAATCAAGGATTTCAAGGCAACTCCAGGACAAGAAGAGTCCACCTTCCAGAGGACCGGAAAGCAGATTGTGGGAGAGATTGAGGTGCGAAAGATGCGTGAGGCTTCCAAGAGAGCGAGAAATGCTTCCTTGGAGCTGGTTAGAGGGCAACGAAACATGTGTTACCCTACCCTCGGCATCACAAGCGATGCCTTCCCAGTGACAACAATCACTGGAAGACCAATTTAAACGAGAAGAAGATATATCAAAAGATGACAAAAGAGAGTTGTGATCTGCCTCCTTGCAAGCATGGTTTGTAGAAATGAAAGTGGACAACACAAAAAACAGGAAGAGGACTCCATAAGGTATTACGCGACTAGCTTGGGGCATGATGTTTTTCGCTATGTCTGCACTGGAATTATATTGCTCACATCGTTTCGGGGGTATATATACACTCCTTATATAGAAAAGAAACAAACCTGCAGAAAATGGGACGTCGCTAATGGAGGGTTGGTAACTTGGCCTCAACGTATTAGAAGGTTTACATGGACTTTGGCGTCGTGCTTTTTGGAAGAGCAAAAACAAATTTTGGTTTTGAAAATGATTGTTTGGTAAACTTTTTGAAAATGTCAGTTTTTTGAGATTTGACAGGAGAAATGATTAATTTTTTTAGTAAAGTTGATATATCAATCATATACTGATGATTAAAAAAAGGAGTTATGAACTAATAAATGAATAATTATATAGTTAATGTAGAAAGGGTTTTTCCTTAATAATCAAATGTACATGAGTACATACACGAGTTTTTCTCCATCACCATCCTATACTAATGACAATATAAATTACAAATAAATTACATAACGGAAAGTGGTTACAACGATCGCATTCAATAACCGTAAATTATTGGCGATAAGGCGACGACTTCAAAGTCGTTGAAAGATCCTTTAATCTTTTTGGTTTTACTGTAGCTTTCTTAGAATTAAAGGAAACACCAAAATTAGAAAGGACGACTCTGCTTTTCTTTGAGGCTCTGTCTCTGTTTGTTTTTGCATAAATCAGTGAGCGAAAATTCATCGAATTTCATGTCTATTTACATTTTCAGGTTTTTGTTTTAGGTGAAGACGAGCGATATTCGAACTTTTTTTAACTGAGTGGAGGTAAGTACCCTACCACTTGAGTTGTCCCACAATTGTTTATTTTTGTTTTTTTATTTTTTGGGAAAAAGGAATATTGTGATGTGAAATAACTGTAAATTATGGAGACTTCTAGGTGCAAAGACTAATAAATTTATTGAAAAAAAATTGAGGTTTCACCGTACAACCAATTGACAATATGAAGATTAATCTAATTTACTTAATGTAAAGATTTAGTCTCGACATTTACAATTTTCACATCCATCTTCCATATTCTTAGTTGTATTACTACTTGCACTAATTCGAAAGCGGGGACCCGTGAAGTATCGGATTGTTCTCAACGGCAGTGCATTGAGGTGAAGTCTTACCCTCCACGGCAGTGCATTGAGGCCTTGGACGAAGACTCCGATAGTGACACTAGGATTTTGTCGGATGTATGATTTCCTGAGAGGTGGGAATTGTCTCTCCAAGTTGGTGAGGCTGGAATCTGGTCAGGAATGATGCCAAGGAAGTTAGTCGTCGCTAAGATCCATTACATACTTGAGAAATAAGTGTAGAAAATGTAGATAGACTTCAAAGCATCAATTGCACGAGAGGGTCCATACAAGGTTTTTGGATTATTCCTTTCCAACTTTGATGACTTTAGAGACAAGGCATCAGCTTACTACTAATCAAACAAAATACTGATCACATGTGCAAACCAATAGTTGAGCCAACCCGCGACTTTAGCGTTTTAAATTCATTGTTTCAATTCGGGTAAAGATAATCTAGTGCCCCAACCGAGGTTTTTAACTTTTTGATGCACGGCATGCTTCAATTGAGGTTTTAGAGACGGTTTATTGGCTCACTATTCTTCAAACATTGACCACATGTGCAAACCAATATATAGTTGGGTTAACTTGAAACTTTAGCGTTTTAACAAATATTGTCCCAAAAAAGGAAGAGACAATCTAGTGAGCCACTACTAATGAACCTAGGTTTTCTAGGTTTTGGATGTGAGACATGGTTGGATGAGGTTGAAAATAAAAATGTAAATAGTTGCAAAAATCAAATATAACAATTAAAACTCCTATACTATTGAATAATGCGTAGCATAAAAGGCACACCAACGAGATATGCTTCAATTAGGGTTTTCAAATCTTGCGCTAAGAGATAGTGAGCCATGTCGTATCGCTGTAGTTTTCACTAAAAGATAGGTTTAAAAAGGAAGGTGGGTTTAGATATTTGTCCACAATATTTGAAATGTGAAGTCTTTGCTTTCATGTACACAATATGTAGACTGAAAAATCACTAGTAGTGAGTGAAAATAGTTCACATTTGAAGGTTTACCTAATTTTTTTTTTTTTTTTGGTAAAAAATAAGGTTTTACATACTTTGACAATGAATCCCACAATACTTGTAATCACTAGACAGGTTTTTAGATGCAATCAAGTTAAGGAAATTCGTGCATAATGTAAGTAGGAGCCACTCAATGATAATTTCGTTTTCAGTTTCAATTTTCATTTTTATCAAAAAATGAAAAGTGATAGTTAAATTTTTTTGAGTTTTCTAAATGGGGGTGAATTGTCACTTAGTACTATAGTTTAGTTGTATTTCTTTTCACTTGTAAGTAAAACGTTTTAGGTTCGATTCTCGCCAAAAGCGAATTTGAATCACAGTATTGCTACCACTAAACCGTATTATTAAGTGGCTATTTCTAGCTATTAGATTGAATAAACCAAACTGAGTTTATGACTATAATTAAACAGAAGTATGCAAATAGCTAAATTTGTGTGCGATTGTCAATTTCCTTCAAAATTTGGCATTTTTTAATTACTTTTTTTATTTAACTTTTTTGAAAATTGAAATGATTATCAAACAAGTAAGAAAAAAGTTTTCCAAATTAAGAAGAGAACTTAGAAAATTTAACCATCAGATGACAACAACCGTTTCAACTGGATTAGTCAATTCTGATTAGAATTAATTGTAAAATCATATCAACAACTATTTCACTCAGCATTCGTAATTTGTTGATTTTTCAATGAATTTATTTACCTAAACAAAAAGCAATTACCGATCAATACAGTAGTACTAGTACTTAGATGGCCTGCCATGTTGATTTGTTTCACAATTATATGTAAGTCTTTTTCTTGACTTCAAAAGCCAAGCCACAATAATTTTGCAAATGGACACATGGCCACTTCTCTAAGTTGATTCTCAATGGTTTAATTAAGTCTTGGCATGTTGGGCAGATACTTGTACTGTGAAGCCAGATCAGTTACATTATTACCGCGTTGAAAGTAGAGGGGCAACTCTAGAGAACAATGGTCTGTTTCATTCACAGCCTTTTGCGATACTAACGCTTGTAGTCTGCAAAGTTCCTTTGGAAATGTTGGATTTGTGACCAAGTGGACAACAAGCCAAAATACCTTTCGGTTAATAAAATAGAATAAGGAAAAGGGGGACATCATTATGATGTCTAGCCCTTGATTTGTGGCTTTTACAAAAGCAAAGAAAGGTGGCCTTTTGTTTATATTAAGGCATTTGGTTATGCCTTTGGAAAAGAGAGAGTGGGAACGGCAGATTAGAGAGAAGAAAGATAAGGGTTGCTGTTATCTATCCTTCCATTTTGTTTGTAATCCCTTTTTGTTAGTAATCACTCAATCAAAGATATTTGTGCTACATTTTGTGGCTTTTGGGAGAGAAGGAATTTGGTATATGTGTTTCCATCTTCTCCATTTGTTCTTTGTGAGAGTGAGAGCTATTGGGTGTATGTGAGATTTGGGTTTGAAAGTTAAAACTCTATTTGTAATCTCCTTTTGATATTAGTGGAATTTCCTCGCCGTCTCGGAACTGGACGTAGGCTTACGCCGAACCAGTATAAATCCTTGTGTCTTTTGGATTATTTGTCTTGTCATATTTTGCCGTTGTAGTTTATTGGTTTCATATTTGACGCTTCCACACAACAAGTGGTATCAAAGCTCTGGGTTTCGACTTGGGGCTTTGTACTAATATGTCTATGAAACCTTCGAATATGTCGGTGAAATATGATATTGAAAAATTCAATGGGAGGAATGATTTTAGCCTGTGGCGGGTTAAGATGCGAGCTGTGCTAGTTCAACAAGGGTTGCTTAAGGCGCTACAGAGTGTGGAGGCCTTGCCACAAGATTGGTCTGCTGAAGAAAAAGAAGACACTTTGAATCGAGACATAGTGCAATTATGTTATCACTATCTGATGAAGTTCTTCGTGAGATGGAAAATGAAACTACTGCAGCTGGTTTGTGGCTTAAGTTGGAGAGTATATACATGACCAAATCCCTCACCAA